AAAAGGTATGTTTGCCTAAAATGAGTGAATAAATAATAACATAAACAATAAATAACCAAAAACAACAAAAGAACAAAATCAGTAACTGAAACTGTATTTAATAAAACAACATAATAAATGAAACATGTATATATATATATACTAAGTGACATATAAATCCGAACACCCAGTTTAAATGGTTTTATTTTAATAAAAGTTGGTGAATGTATTTATCTTACTGTAAATAACAAGTGAAAAAATTTTCAGCCTTATCAGTTGGACATTCCGGTTTTTATACTGCTTTTTTTTAATTCACTAACGCTCTAAAAATGAATATTTCAGCCGCAGTAAAGAATCAACGTTGGCGGATTTTGGTTCTTGATATCCTTTACGATCGGTTACGATGCCTAGAGTACGGAGACCTGTACGATTTCGTCAACTGAGACGGCTTCGAGAAGGCCGTACGCAAAGAGCAAGGGGCACTGGACGCCGCCGTAGAACAACAGACCGTGAAGATCGCCGCCTAAGATTATTGGACTTAAGGGACCGTTTCTCCACTACCAGGTCCATTACAAATGAATGGTTTGCAGAACACGGAAGACCTATTGGCATGCGAAGTGTTTACCGTCGAATGAGAAGTTTTGGCTTGTTTCATACCGGCCACATTGAGTCCTCCCTTTAACTCGAGAACACCGACGTAATCGCCTTGAGTGGTGCAGACAACGGTCACTCTGGGATCAGGAATGGAACAGTATTGTCTTTAGTGACGAGTCTCGATTTTGTTTAGGCATGCACGATGGTCGTGCCAGGGTTAGAAGACGACGTGGTGAAAGGAGGAATCCACAGTTTTTTGTTGAAAGACATGTTCATCACACTGTTGGAGTTATGGTTTGGGGTGCTATAGCTTATGGTTCCAGGTCACCATTAATATTCATCAGAGGTAACATGAACGCGCAGCGTTATATCCACGAAGTTCTAGAACCCCATATTTTACCCTATCTTGACACCCTGGCAGATCTAACTTTCCAACAAGATAATGCCCGACCACATGTTGCAAGAGTCACAATAGACTTCTTTTAATATAATGATGTCACATTATCTGACTTATCCCCAATTGAGCACGTGTGGAATATGATGGGTAGGAGATTGCTCAATTTGCAACGTCCTCCTCAGACTCTAGAAGCACTTCGAGAGGAGTTGGTGGTTGCCTGGAATGAGATACCACAGGAGGACATTGACCACCTGATTAGAAGCATGCCTAGGCGCGTTGGAGAATGCGTAGCACATCAGGGTGCATCCACACATTATTAAATGTCAAAGGGCTTTAAAGCAGTGCAATCATTTTGAAATTTTTATCAATTACTTATTATGCTTCATTCAGTACTTATACAAAATTTTATTAAAATAAAACCATTTAAACTGGGTGTTTGGATTTATATGTCACTTAGTATATATATAAAACAGAATTTTTATATCTTTTTGACTTTTTTCGTTGTAATAAAATTTTTGAGCTCTAACGTGTATGATTCTCATGTTAATATACTTGAAAATCAGTCAACCTCGATATGACTATATTATACACCTCTCAGGTAGCGAAATATGGCAACGCAACGCATCCGTTCCATCCTGGGATCGATAATCGATCGTCTGTGGTCTATTCTCCTTCTCCAACGTCACTGTGGTCTATGTTTTGTGGTCACCTGTTGTGTTACTTGACGTCCAGGTATTTGTGAAATATGGAATTTTGGAAGAACACATTTCTGTATAAAAAGTGCTTCGTCCAAGATTTTTTTTTGTGCAGAATTACGTATTACACTGTCCTGTACACGATAAATCTGCAATAACCCCCAAATACGTGGTTATGTTGAGTGTACCTAATGGTGCGACTGATTATACACTGAAATCAAAACAAAAAAACTGCAACT